GTGATCGAGTAAGCCTGGGCCTAGTGTGAGCTTTTGAAACCCTAAAACTCATTTTCAGTGCTTTCCAAACAGTACCACTAATGGGGCATTCAAACCTCGGTCCTATGGAGGGCATTCTGATTCAAATCACTACACTCCTCTCCTTGATCCCCATAATGCTACAGCCATATCATAATGCAAAATGCATTCAGTCCAACTTCCAAAGTCAGTATAGTCTTTCGGTCTTAAGACCATTTAAAAGTCAAAAGTCCAAAGTCTCTTCTGAGATTGAGAGCTATCTCTTAACTATATGGAATCTATAACACCATATAATAGCAAAAGAATAAGCAGATCACATACTTCCAACATAGACTGGCCACTCCAAAAGGGAGGCAAGGGAGCACAGTGAGGAAATACTGGACCAAAGCGAGACCAAAGCCCAGCAGGAAAATTCCAATTTCTGTCTTAGTTTGATCAGTGTCCCACTCTTTCTGACTATGTTGACTGCAACACACTCTTCCCTCTTGGGTTGGTTCTGCACTCTTTCTGCAGCTTTCCTCAGCAGGTCTCCTCATTGCTGGTATCTCCAACATCTTGGAGTTTCCAACACAGTCCAGGCTTCACCTTCATAGCTTCAAACAGTGATCTCTCTGGGCCTCTATCAGGGACGCCACCATCATATGCCTGGTCTCAGCAGCTTTCCTTAACTAAGGAGGAGGATTCCAAAACCCCTTTCTTGTAACTTCCTTGATAAGGCCAGAAGCATGTGGCCAAAGCTGCCAAGTTCTGCTTGCTGAGACTGGCACCTGAGTACCTTCCTGCTTTCCACTGTGGATGGTTTTCTTTGCTGCTTAAGCTTTCCTCGAATTTCTTTTCACACACTGGAAGCTTAGATGGATGAGGTCTTGCCTGGAGAACACCACTCTCTTTAATCCAGTTGGAATCAGGCCTTTCTTTAACTGTTTATTTCCTGGAGCACAGGACTTGGCTCCTACATTACATTTCACACTTTTTTTTCCTCCTCAAACTGTACATTTTGTTTCTCTTTGGCCCGTTTACTCCTTTTCATTGTAGATCTGCATAAAAATGATCACTAATAACCCCATGCCATAGTCAATACTAGGCTGTTTTGAAATCTCCTCTCTCAATGACCTTAATCCAGAACTCCTCAATTTAGCCTCAGGAAGATTCTGAGGACAAAAGCAAAGAGCAGCCACATCCTTTGCTAAAATATAAGAAGACTACTTACTAATATGCTTCCCTTTTGAAACCTCTTGATCTGGGCCTCCATAGTCCAAATCTCTTAAGAACATGTCTTCCATGTCCATGGGGTTGACCCCATAAACCTCAATTAAGGAATTCTATTATTATTATTATTATTACTTTTACCCAAAGTTCCAAAGTCTTCCATATTCTTCCAAATAACAGCATGGTCAAGCCTATCACAGCAGCATACCAGTTTCTGGTGCCAATGTCTGTCTTATTTACTGTTCTATTTTTGCAAAGAGATACCATGACCATAGCAACGCCTATAAAAGGAAGCATTTAACTGGGGGCTTGCCTAAAGTTTTAGAGAGTTAGTCCATGGTTATCATGGTGGGAAGCAAGAAGGTATCACGCTGGAGCAGTAGCTGAGAGGCTTATATCCTGACCCATAGGAGAGGGGGGCAGGGAGAGAGAGAAAGAAACTGGGCCTGCTGTAGGCCTTTAAAACATTAAAGCCCACTGCTACACTGTTCTAACAAGGCCACTCCTCTAATCCTTCAGAAACAGTTCTACTAACTGGGGACCAGGCATCCAAACATATGAGACTATGGGGCCCATTCAAACCACAGCACTCAGTACTATCCTAGGATGGCCTCAAACTTGTGATTCTTCTTCCTCAGCCTCTATGCTACTTAGTTTGTATAATTTGACATAAGGTAGGGTCATCTGGAAAGTGGAATCTTAGTCAAGAAAATGCCTCTATAGGATTGGCCTGTCAGCAAGTATGAAGGGTATTTTCTTGATTGATGATTGATGTGGGAGGGCCCAGTGAATTGTGGGTGGTACCACTCCTGGGCAGGTGGTCCTTAGGTATATAAGAAAACAAACTGAACAAACCAGTAAGCAGCATTCCTCTGTGGCCTCTGCTTCAGCTCCTGCCTTACCCCCCTCAGTGATGGACTGTTACCTGAAAGCATAAAGTGAAATAAACCCTTTTCTCCAAGTTACTTTTAGTCGTGGTGCTTATTGCAGTAACAGAAAACCTCCCTAAGATAGCCTCCATAATCCTAGGGTTACAGGCACATGATCCCTGGCTCCTTATTGACTCTTAAATAAATAATATTTTAAAAATAAAATTTCCTTCTGAGAATTCAGTTTAGAATTATATTGTTTCTTATTAATTTCTCATACAGTTTTAAGATACGTCATTTGAACTACATGAGAAGAATTTCATATTACAGCTATAATAACTAGCTTCATGAAATCTCTTTTGGGAATGCTAACCATTTAACTACTTAGGCATTGTGTGAGGCAATCACTCCGATCTAGTATGGCGGTCGATGCATCCCTGTGATCGTGCAACATTAATGTTAAGTTGTTTCACTGTGGAGCCTCATAGATATCACCAGACTCCTGGCTTCCTGAAGACAGGGCCACATCCTGCAAGTTGTTTTGAAAACCCAGGTTCTTTTCCATTTTGGAAACTGAAGTCTGTTGGGTTTGTGATACCAGTGCTTAAGAGTCCCTATTACTGCTGGGACTCAAATACCACAGTCAGCAGGGCTACACTGGTTGTGATGGTTTGTATATGCATGGCCCAGGGAGTTGCACTATTTGAAAGTGTGACCTTGTTGGAATAGGTGTGTCACTGTGGGTGTGTGTATAAGATCCTCATCCTAGCTGCTTGGAAGCCAGTCTTCACCTAGCAGCCTTCAGATGAAGATGTAGAACTCTCAGCTCCTCCTGTACCATGCCTGTGTGGACACTGCCATGCTCCTGACTTGGTGATAATAGACTGAACCTCTGAACCTGTAAGCCAGCACCAATTAAATGTTATCCTTATAAGAGTTGCCTTGGTCATGGTATCTGTTCACAGCAATAAAATCCTAAGACAGAAGTTGGTACCAGGGACTGGGGTATTGCTGTGATAGGCCTGAGCATGCTTTTATTTGAAAGAATGTGGATTTTGGGACTTTGGATTTTGAAATAAGTGGAATGTTTTAAGTGGGGCTTAATGGGCTCTCCTAGTAGGAATATGGAATATGTTGCTGAGAGTGATTTGAACTGTGCAGACCTGGCCCAAGAGGTTTCAGTGTAGAAGAGTTTCAGTATGTGGCCTAGAGACTGTTTTTGTTGTATTTTGGTGAAGAATGTGGCTGCTTTTTGCCCTTGTCTGAAAAGTCCACCTGAGACTAAGATAAAGAGATTTATATTAATTGCATTGACAAATGAAGTCTCAAAAAAAGCCCAACAGAGACTTTGTTCTCTGGTTAAGTCTCATGAAGAATGTTTTGAACAAGTATAGCAAGCTTAGAATGGAAAAAAATATCAGATTTATGGTTCAAGTAATAATAAAGGGGCACCAGAAAATAAAATGGAGCTGAATCCTATGTTCAAGATGATAAAGAGATAAAGGGAGTAGTGATCTCAGGGTAAGATCCTACCCAGCTAAGCTTATTGTTTGTGTTTGCAGTTGAACAAAGAATAGTTTGGACTTTTAATCTGGAATGAAGTATAATCCAGAAATGGAGGGCACACTTGTGATCTAGATCTTGAGGCTGGAAGACACATGCTTTTGATCTGGATCTTCAGGATCAGTGGCTATGAAAAGTTTAAGCCCAGGCATGGTGGTACACACCTTCAATCCCAGGAGACAAAGCCAAGCAAATCTCTGAGTCAAGACCAGCTAGTGACAGAGCAAGTTCCAAAAGCTTAAATCCAGATGTGGTAGTACATGCTTTTAATCTCAGGATTCAGAAGACAGAGCCATGCAGATCTCTGAGTTCAATCTACAGAGCAAGTTCCAGGATAGCCAAGCTTAGTCAGTGAGGGAGTTGGAAAACAGAAAACTGGTAATAGAATAAGAGGTGTCATGTTCCAGCCCAAGCAAACAGCAGAACTCCAAAGCTTTGGCCATGTGACTCTGGTTTTAGAGTCCAGAATAGAAGGGACTACTGGGACAATTGATGCTGGCTAGCTGAGGCTAAGAAATTAGTGGTGATTAAGAAGAGACCAGCATGACTGAGGTGAAATGTTCTGAAAGCACAAAGAAGCTATGTTCCGGAGACAGTCAAGGTTGTACCCAGTGCTGCAGAGATACTTGGTAACATGTAAGAGTCACCCTAGGTAGTACTAGTTTTGAAGGTATGAAGGGGTCATGGAGAACAGCTGAGTCTTGGCACCATGAGAGGTTATGGAAGGCCACTGGTGAAGGTACAACCTCAGTTGCAGTTGATAACCCAGGACTGAAGGGGTCATACAAAGAAGTTGAGGCCTGATACCATGAAGAGAGCCTATGAGAGGCTTTGGTGAAGTTTAGTTGCAGAGGAAGACCCCAGTATATTGGATATGCCAGCACCATAGGATGACCACCAAGAACAGCAGCAGCAGCAGCAGAATAGAGTCAACCAGAGCCTAGAGTGCTACAGAGGGCAGAGCTGGAGATTTGACCCAAGTGTTTTGGAGGAGCCCAGAAGATCATGTGTGGACCCCAGACACTGGATTTGTTGCCTTGGAGACCCCAAGAATTTTGAGATGCCAGAGCCATAGGATATGTGCTAAGGAAAGCTCCTAACAGGGAGTGGAACCAGCCCAGGAGAAAGAAGTTTGTTTCAGTCAACAAAAATGAAAAAGGAGTTGGAGATCTGAAGACCACTTTGACATCAGACAAGGAGATGCAGCTTTGGAATTTGGCCAGCTTGTTTCCTGCCTTGCTTTGGGGATTACAGTTAAGTGATTGGAGGGATCTCAGAAGAGATCTTGAACTTTGGACTTTTAACATTGTTGAGACTGCTACAGACTATAGGGACTTCTGAAGTTGGACTACACGTATTTTGCATTATGCTATGTTTAGGTATGGCCCCCATAGACTTATATGTTTGAACAGGCCTATGGGAGCCAGGGAGTGGAATGTGATGGTTTGTATATGCTTGGACCAGGGAGTGACACTATTAGGAGGTGTGGCCTTGTTGGAGAAGGTGTCACACTGGGGGTGTGGCATAAGACACTCATCCTAGCTGCCTGGAAGCCAGTCTTCTCCTAGCAAGCAGCCTTCAGATGAAGATATTAAGCTCTTAGCTCTGCTTGAACCATGCCTGCCTGGATGCTGTCATGCTCTTGCCTTGATGATAATAGACTGAACCTCTGAACCCGTAAGCCAGCTCCAATGAAATGATGTCTTTATAAGAGTTGCCTTGCTCATGGTGTCTGTTCACAGCAGTAAAACCCTAACTAAATGACTGGTTATCTGAAGGCTGATCACAGGACAAGCGAGTGGGAGACTGACTATGTAGTTTATCCATTGCTTTCTGATTCAACAGAAACAACTTTTTCCTATTGGTAAGGCTTAGAAGTACCAGAGGTACTCTTCAGTACAGAATAGATGAGGGTTGGTAGTATTGGAGACACCTGTTCTTGAGTTTTGTTAAAAAGATGTTACCTGGTCATTATGGAGAAAGAAGGCAAGGAGGTAGGAGAACCCCAGCATGGTCTCTCGGTGCATGCCGTTGTGCAAGTCATTCTTCAGGAGTTTTTCTCCCAGGACCACATGGTACCGAAGAATGTCTTCCTTCTGTACCACACATACAAGGAAAAGTCAGCCAGTGAACTGGCCACTTGGCTATACTCTGCTCTACTATGCCAGAACCATGGGGGTTGCAAAGCAGCAGCTTGTCCATGTGCAAGATATCCGGGCACAGAAGTGTTAGGTAAGAAGGTGGGTTGTGAATGTCCAGGTAGAACAAACATTTAACACCATCATTAACAAACATCAAGAACATTTAGATGCCGTAATGAAAGTGGTAAGTAGATTTTAAAAATGATTTCTTTAAGATGAAAAATATTTCAGCTTCAAAAATTCAACATAAGATGAGCTTTAAGCAGTTAGTGTCATAAAGTTACAGATTTCTGGATAAAATAGAAAATAATATGAGGGATGAGAATATGAAAATAATTCCAAGTATTTTAATTATTATTAAAACAAAATACCCCCAAGTAGAAATATGCATTTAAAAACACTATCCAAAATAATTGCAATCCTTTATATTGAAGCAAAGACTTTTGGAATTAAAAAAATATTTTTTGCAATGGCAAAAGAAATATTTTTCCCCCGGTGTTAAAAAATGACACCATACAGAAATCTACAAACAAATGCACAGTGGTTTCTGCCTACATAATTGGTTCGGACTATAATTATAAACATTTCTTTGATATGCAAAATAGTATTTTCAGTTGATTTTATTTTATATCCCTAATGAGACGTTAAAGCCATTTTTTTCTACACATAAAAGAGAACACATGTTTTTATGAACACTAGGTAAATGTCTTCAGCTTACTTTTTTTTTGTTAAATATTTTAGTTTCTTAGTCTCTCTCTCTCTCTCTCTCTCTCTCTCTCTCTCTGGTATGTTCATGGCAGCTGTGATCTGGGGAGGTTTGTGACATGCTTGGATCACTATTAAGTATGCAGAGCTGGATGAACAGGTTTTGACAAAAGCATCAAATGGCACATGACTGATAGGGCGAGAATGTTGATGATGCTTGAGAGCTGGCTGAGGAGGGAACTGTGGGTACCACTCTCAAGGAAGCCCCTGGTTCAGTTCCATACCGGTATCAGGCAGCTCAAAACCATCTGTAACTCCAGCTCCAGGGGCCTTATAACACCTTTGGATGTAATACCTCTGGCCTCTGTGGGGATCTGTTCTCATGTACACACACACCACCAAAAATATTTTTTTTCTGTTTTTTTTTTTTTGAAACAAGGTTTCTCTGCATAGCTCTGGCTGTCTGGAAACTAGCTCTATAGATCAGGTTGGCCTCAAACTCACAGAGATTGGCCTGCCGCTGTCTCTCAAGTAATGTGCCCATAGCCCAGCCTAGAATGAATCTTAGAGAGAAAATGTTGACTGCTGCGGCTGACACTTACTAGAGAGGTGGCTTTCTTCTCCCTGATATAATTTTCAATGGCTTCATTGTTTGGCACAAACACAGTGTAAGCATCTGCAGCCTCGATTGCACTTGCCAGATTGTATTGCTGCAAAGCAAAGACAGGACAGCCAGTGAGAGGTTCCAGTTCCCAGATAGCTTGACAAGATGGTTATGCAGAGAACATGGTACTTACAATGATATAGCCTCGGAAGATGGAATAGTCAGGCATCTGCTCCAGACGGGTGAGTAGATTTGGCAAGGAGCCAGTTAGACCTCTTTGGGGGACCAGTACCTGGCAAAAGAAACCCCAAAACTCTATTTAGATAATGTTGGTACCATTGCTGTTCACTAGTAACTACGAAAGTCCTGTTGGCTTCTTCGGGCAGTTAAAAAAAAACATCTGAAAACATTTTGATTGTTGCTAGAACAAGTTATTCAATGATGCAAAGTCTGAAATGTTAGTTCAATTTTAAATCTTCCCCCTAATTTGTTCTCCAGTTAGAGAAAATTTCATCCTTACAGAAGACTTTATGGCTCCCACTAAGGAATGCCTTCTAATTTTCATTAAATTATCCTGTTAATTCTTTGCTTCTTATCCCGAGAACCTTAAATCTACTATAAGCCAGTGACCTGAATTTGCCTGTAAAAATGTTTTGATTGATAAAAGTTAAAAGACAGAGCATTTTAACATAAAGTTAGATCCTCCGTCTCTCTCTGTGTGTGTGTGTGTGTATTTGTGTGTGTGTGTCTCTCTCTCTGTGTGTGTGTGTGTGTGTGTGTGTGTGTGTGTGAGAGAGAGAGAGAGAGAGAGAGAGAGAGAGAGAGAGAGAGAAGGAGAGAGAGAGAGAAAGGGAGATCGCGATCAGGTTCTAGAGCTTGTGCAGACAGGCAAATAATAGGTATTGCTGATACATGATACATTCCCCCAGGTATTTGATTCTCTCCTTTTTTTTTTTCTTCCCACTTTTGAAACAGGATCTTGCCATGTCATCTAGGCTGACTTCAAACTTCCTGTGCTCCTCCTGATTTAGCTTCCTGACTGCTGGGATTACAGGCATGTGTTACCACATCCCATCTGACTTTTTAGTCTCCATTGCCATAAACGACATTCCGTTGTAAAGAGTTAACAGCCCCGTATTTGCTGTCTCGCCTCCTCCATCTCCCAACCAGTCCCTATGCGCTCCAATCATCTTCTCTCTGGTTCACGTAGCCTGGTATGGCTAACCCTCTGGCCAAGGTAACTAGTTCTATCTTCTCGTTCTAGAACTTTGTCAAACGGAAACCCTCAGCACTGTAACATTTTCTTTCTTCCCTCATTCAGTCTTGAATTGATATTTACTGGGTGTCTAGTACGGCTCAGGATGTGGAGACACTAATCTGTTTGAGGTCTGGATCATGCCCTCGAAGAGCTAAGCATATGGCAGGAGGTGGCACAGACAGCTGGCATAAGTGAAAACCAACTCCCCTGGCGAGGGCCATCACCGCCTGGAAGGCGGAAGAGGAAGAGGTGAAACCCCCAGAGGACCCTCAAGCCCTCTTCATGCTATTGGCTGCCTGGTGTGAGTATGCAAATGAGGCGACGTCACTTCCTATAATAGCGGTCGCCATTTTCTCGCACCTGCCAGTGCAGGAAGACGGGCGGTGAGCAGCTCCGAGTAGAAAGCTGAGGAGAGGCTTGAGGCCTCCCAGTGTAAGTGAAGGTTTAGGGGGTCAGAGTGTGTGACCGGGGGGCCGGGAAGGACTGTGGCGCGAGGCCTGTGTGTGAGGGCTGTGGCGCGAGGAGGGCCGGGAAGGGCTGTGGTGCGAGGCCGCCAGTGTGTGACTGGAGGCCGCGGAAGAGCTGTGGCGCGAGGCCCGCGTGTGACTGGAGGCCGGGAAGGGCTGTGGCACGAGGCCGTCAGTGTGTGACTGGAGGCCCAGGAAGGGCTGAGGCGTGTGCTAGGCGGTCCGTCAGCGTGTGAGTGGAAGGCTGGGGAAGTACTAGGGCGCGAGGCCTGTGTGTGACTGGAGGCCCTGGAAAGGCTAAAGCGCGGGCAGTCAGTGTGTGACTCGAGACTGTGGAAGGGCTGTGGCCCGAGGAGGCCTTTGTGCGGCCGGAGGCCAGGGGAAGGGCTGAGGTGTGAGGAGGCCCGTGTCTGATTG